CATTCTCACAGTGGCAGGGGCTGACTGGAATTGCTTCTGATAGACAATGCTGTTCATTTTGCTGGATTGGCTATTCGGACTTGTGGAAGTAGCCCTTGGAAAGAAGTCATCGATGGTCAGTATAGTAGTGTCATGGAAAGAATACTGTTAGCTTCTGACAGACATTGTCCTAATACTTGGTAGTTGATGAAAATTTACCAAAATAAATTATCAAAAATTAAAGTAGCAGAGAGACAATAAAAGAGAAGAGGCGAGAAAGAATACTAGTTAGCTTTGTCCTGTACTGCATCTATAAATACAGTGCCAAGAAATTTTAAGACATAGTATTTTAGACAAAACTATCTGAATGCCTTATTTGAGTCCTCTTGTGTTTCTTTCACACAATGGCATGCTAATATCTATCAAAACAATGGCGGTCAATTATTTGAAATTTTAGAAGTAAATTTAAATTCTCATTTTACCGAAATGGACTAGATGTAGGTGTGGTGCTTCTACCACTGATCGGAGGTGTTCCTGGTTTAATATCAATGCCACTTCCAAAAGCTTTCAATTCCATTTCCGACATCTGAGAAAAAACACAAAATAAATGCAGTATCCCATAGATTTCCAAGTGTAGTGTTTAATATCCTATGTACTACAGTTCAATCTGAAGGAGAAGACTCATCCTGGTGGATATGACTGCTGCAACGAGCTCTTGTGTGTCAGGAAATGTGTGGATAGAACAGGGTTCAATTCTATTGCTCACAGGGTCACTATGAGTTGTACTCAACTTGATGGCACCTAACAACAACTGGTCAATCTAGAAAAAGGCCAAGAATCTTAATATAAACATTCTATAACTAGGTTTAAAAAACTAAGGAATTACTAAGCTAGTCTAGAAGACTATGTAAACCCAACTACTGCACACAATTTACGAATTTCATTATCAGGCAAAACCTAGGAGTCATAATCATTAAAAAAAATAAAAGATAATTAAGCATACTGGGTGTTGCAATACCATGGAGGGTGATAAAAAGAAATGCATTATACAGTTGTATAATATATACCATGCCTATATTCATATATCTGGAAGCAGGAGCGGCATCCACTTCCAAAATGGCTTGCCTCTGGAAACTCGACGTACGAACAGTGCTCAGGCTGTTCGTTCATAGGGTTGCTATGAGTCGTCTATGACTCGACGGCATTAAACAACAACAACACATATTCATATATATATGGCCTTACATTTTGGAAAAGCAGTGCATATTTCTCTTCACTTACTTTTCCTGGGGCTGCAATCATGCTATGTTGTGTTCCAGCAGGGATTAATCCTCTGAAAGGCTGGCTTACTTGTGCAGGACGAGTCAGGCTCTGGG